TCCCCATATCCCACCTGGACCTCTCCCACTGCAACTTGAGCCCATTGCTCCTCGGTCTGCCATCCGTCACCCCTGAGAACAGCCTCTCTCCGGCCTCTTTGGAACCCCCCTTCAGGGAGTTGAAGGCTGCTCTCAAATCCCCCCTCACTCTTCTCTTCTGCAGCTTTAAATAAGCCTAAATCCCCCAGTCTCTCCTCATAGGTCATGTGCTCCAGCCCCCGAATCATTTTGGTCGCCTTCCGCTGGACCCTCTCTAATGCGTTCACACCCTTTCTGTAATGGAGGGAGGGGCAGAATTGGATGCGATACTCCAGATGTGGCCTCACCAATGCTGAATAAAGGGGAATAATCACTTCTCTAGATCTGCTGACAATGCTCCCCCTCATGCACCCTAATATGCTGTTAGCCTCTGACTACAACGGCCCCTTATTGATTCACATCCACTGGAATCCCCAGGTGTTTTTCTGCAGAACTGCTACTTAGCCAGTCGGTCCCCAGCCTGTAACAATGTTTGGGATTCTTCCGTCCCAAGGGCAGGACTCTGCACTTGTCCTTGTTGAACCTCATCCGATTTCTTTTGGCCCAATCTTCCAATTTGTCTAGGTCACTCTGGACCCTGTCCCGACCCGCCTATATATCTACCTCTCCCCCTAGCTTAGTGTCATCCGCAAAATTCCTGAGGGTACATTCCATCCCCTCCTCCAGGTCACCGGATAGTTTCACTGCAGGTAGCAAGTGCAGACCATGGATGGAGTGTGATCTCCCCCAGAAGTCCCTGCTGCAAGCTGGAAGGTGGGGCACCTTGGTGAGGGATGCGAGGGGATGGTTGTAGGGCTACCGTCCAGCCTCGTGGAATAGAGGACATGGGTCTCCATAGCTGTCAATCCAGCTGTTTTCACTCAGCCTAAAAAATGAGTCAAGAAATAAACACATTTTGGGAATTCCCCATTAATCCAGGAGTGGCTTTTCCCTTTCTAGGGTCTTCTTGTCTCTCCACAGCATCCCAGAAACATCCCATGGGCTGTGCTGATCACTGCTTCGAGGCAACCCATGCCTGCCCACATCTTCCCAGCTGACGGCTGCCTTTGGAATGTTTTCCGGGACAATTAACAGAGGTGGTGCGTTTGCCTTCTTTTAGAACAGCTTGGCTCCTTGGGGAGGGGTTGTTTCCCCAGCTCATTTAGACAGGAAGAGGTGGTGGTTTCTCCCTCTCCCCCCCTCCTCCCCCGCATGTCAGGTTGACCTTGCGAAGGGCTGGATGTGTAAACAGTCGGAGAAAGGGCGCTCCAGTCTCCAGGCAGGTGAGTGCACGGGCGGATGTCTCGCCCGGCGACGGAGCTCAAATCCCTCTTGTCTCTGTGTTTAACTCTCGGAAGCGGCAAGGCAGGCGCTTTCCCAGAACACGACCCTGGGAGATTTTCCAGCTTGCTGATGGAAAAGGAAACCGATTCCTTCTGACCAACCCGGGCGGAGTGGAGACCAATTAGTCACAGAGAGGGCAGGCTCCTTTTGGCCAGGGCTCTGCAAGACAGGTAGCTGATCATGAGCCAGGCCTTACGGTGATCAGACAGCTGGGGCGCTGTGCCTGCTACTTACCATACTCTTCCTGATCAGACAGCTTTATCCAACTCACTTACCGCTGTCTATGTTAATCCAGGCTCCCATCCATCGGTGTGCTGCCCCTAGTGCCCCACCGGTTCGTCTCATCTTGTACTTGGTTAACCATTTGGGGGCAGAAAGCAGGGCCCACAGCCACCGCAGCCCCAGGGCAAGCGTGGGGAGAGGTTGCGTGCCCCCAGAAGGAGTGGAGCCTCAGGCAGTCAGCCCTTAGCACCACCCAGACCGGAGGTGGGCAAGATACGGCCCACGGGCCAGATCCAACCCACCGAGCCTTTCAATCCGGCCCACGGCCCATCCCACCGGGACCTTCAGCCACAGAGCAGCCCCAGGGCTCAAAGCAGCTGGCTGCTCTCTGTGCGGCACATGAAGGGGGGAGGGATCACTTTGCACACTGCTCCCACCCCCTGCACAATCTCTCCGCTCCTATTGACTAGAAACCGGCCAATGGGAGCGGAGAGATTGTGCCGGAGTGGGGCAGTGCATGAAGACTCCCCCTCTGCACATGATGTAGAGAGGCACATGGAGGGAGCAGCCAGCCAGTCTGCATGGTCTGGGGCTGCGGCAGGCAGGGAGCCTGCCAGAGGGACCCACTGGGCTGCTGACCAGGGCCCTCCTAAGGTAAATGCCTCTGGAACCCCAGCCCCTCCGTTCCCCCAATTCCCTGCCCCACATCACCACTCAAACCCTCTGCACTCCCTCTCCCCCAGGTCACAACCCCCTCCTTCACTTGAACTCCCTCTCAGACCCCACACACCCTACTACACTCCAGTCCCTTACACAAGTTCCTTTCTGCACCCAGCCTCCATCCCAGACCCCCTATTCCCCCACAGAAATGTGCAGCCCTTGACCACTTACCAACATCTTGGAGTGACCTGGCCTTGACCACAGCATCCTCGCCCCCAGCCAGAGCCATGTGGCATGGTGCTCCGGCAACAATCTGGCTGCTACCACGGGCACTGGACCCTTTGAATCTCTGGCCCCCAGGGCAACTGTCCCCTTCATCCTCTTCCCATTGGCAGGCCTGGGGACAGAGAATGTCTTTTTGTTACATCCACTGGCAGCCCCCAGCACAACAGGGCTCCATCCCTGAACTTAAAGAGACACCTGGGTCTGAAAACAACCTCTCCTCTCCCAGCACACGATGGCGGAATAAAAGGAGCCCACTTCCCCAAATGCCATAGTGGTTCTATTTCCTATGTCATTCTGCGCAGGTTTTCCATCCCTCCCTCCACCTGGGAGCTCGATACTTCAGTTTTGCCAGCAAACATTATTAACCCATTCATGACCAGGCAAGGGGAGCCAGGCTGCAAGCAGGGTAGAAGAAATACAACTCCAGCACAATTAGCATAACAAAAGTGGCTCTTAATGATGCCTATTTAGCTCTGCTCTTTGAACAGTGGGGTGGGGGAAGCAGGTCAAACCATTCCAAACCAGGGAAGGTTTGCAGCCTCCTGGCCAAAATAACCTTCTCTTATTCTTACAGCGCTCTGGAAGTCTAGCCCCTGCTTAGCCAGGTCCTCTCTGCTACCTGTGAGCCCTCCCCTTTGGAACAATGTAGCACAGTCCTGCTTTTCTGTAGTCCCACAACATTATAAACATTGGTACCCATATTTCTCTCTCCCTGCATTTATTACAGACATAGCTGGTGTTGGGTCACAAATTAAGTTGATTACAATAAGCAAATACCGCTCCATCTGATGACTAGCTAACATATCTAAGCCAAGCAGGAGCAAGCTGTATTTACATAGACACACCCAGGGTCTCTTCCCTCTTCCGAGTACCTGTAAGGTAAGCTTTCCTTCAGAGTCTGCGTTCATGTACAATCCAGAGGGAGTAACAATGTTAGTCTGTATCTGGAAAAACAGTGAGGAGTCCTGTGGCAGCTTAGAAACTAACAGATTTATTAGGGCATAGGTCCTTGTAAGTAAAAAACCCACTTCATCAGATTAACTGGAGTGAAAGTCACAGAGACAGA